TCTTAGCTTCTTAAGGAAGGAATTTCTGGATTAAAAAAATATTCAAGAGTTAGCATGCCTAATCTAACTTCCTTCCCCCTCTGGGCTCAAGCCGGTCATTTATTGCTAGAACTTAAAATTCCAATCAGGTGAGAATCAGATAAGGCCTGCTCTCCTGGCTGAGAACAAAGCGAGCTCATTCGAGGGCCAGGCTGCAGGCCGAGAGCCCAGGCCTGTGGGAGGGGCTGTACACAGCCCAGGGTGGGCGCCCCAGAACCTTCCGAGGCACTAGCACGTGGTCCTCATGACCCTAGAGGATGTACCCGGTGTCTGCAGGCCTGGTGGTGCATGTTGGCCTGTGGGGACTCGCAGAATGCCCCGGGCCCAGCTGCTTCTGCGCAGGAAGGCGGGAGTCAGGGCCAGGAGCTCTGGGAACCAGGGGCGACCCCCGAGCTCAGGCCACGGGAAGACAGCGAGGGACGCTGATCCCCAAAGGACCCCGCACCCGACCCCCACCTGCTGCGGGAAACCAGGACATGCATGCTCCATGGGGACGCACATGCCCACCGCCGGGCGGGGAGGGAACCTCACAGGATGAAGGAAGGAAACGGGGAGCTGGGAAGAACTGCAGCTGGTCTGATGAGCACGATTACGGGAGTACAGGGCCCCCTGCCCCGAGGACAGTGGACAGGGCCATTTGAACCCAGAGCAGAGCGCACAGGCACCCGCCGGCCCGCTCTGTGCTGGAGGAAGCTGACTGGACGTCAGGGCTCCATCACCGGCTCCTCGGACCGCGCTTCTGTCCAGAGGGTCCTTCCCCGGGTGTCCCGCTAGAACCACCAGCAGACAAAGGTATTTGCTCTGGGGCAGTTTAAGCGAGCACCGTGCGGGTGACTTAATGAGAAACGCACCCATTCCCCCAACCTCTGCCATCCTGATGCTCGTATCACACACAGGAACGGATGTCCGCACACACTGGCAAGCGATTTGGCGATTTCAGACCATTTCTGGTTCATACTTCTTGTTTTGCAACGGGAAGGGGAGGGTGGCCCAGGAAACTGATGACTAAGGCGAAGGAAATCCTGTCTGTGCTTGGATTGTCTTGGAGGGGCGCACGGGTGGGGCGGGGGGGGGGAAGCGCAGACAGGGTGGGCAGCGGGAAGGAAGGTGGCCAGAGAGACGCGCGGCCGAGCTGGCCCTCCCGCACCTTGGACTTTGTCACAGTGAAGATTCTACCAAATAAGGGAGAAAGGGAAGGGGCGCCTCTCCCGGGAACATTCCTGCTGGAACTTTCCCTCGGCCATCTGGTGGCGTGTTGGCCTTAGGTGCCTGGGGGAGGGTTGGGGGCTCAGCTGGGAGCAGGGAAACGGACAGCTTTGCTCCCACCAGAAAGACGGTTTCTCCCAACCCCTCCCATCTCTCCTCTCAGCTCAGACCCAGCGACCGCTACTTCTCATCTGGCTGCTCTGCGGGGCAGGTCCGCGTGCAGCACGGGTGTGTCCTCCGACACACGTCTGTCTCTGGGCCTCTACTGTCTGTCCTCTGCACCTCTTGCCTGTCTCCCCTACAGCAGACCATCACGTCTGTATACCTGCCTCCCTCATTATCTGCCCACGTCTGACCTTCTACTTGTACAACCCATCCATCCACGTCACCTATCCACATATCCATCCTCCATCCATCCATCCATCCATCCATCCATCCATCCACCCAACCACCCACCTACCCATCCATTGTCCATCATACATCATACAGCCCATTCTCAGCCACCAGCCAGCACCTTGCCACGAGCACGGATCCGTGTCCACGCTGACACGCATCTTACATGCATGTGTTTGGAGGCCAATGGGGCCCAGGTGGGGAGGGGGCTCCCCAAAGAAGCTGTGGGCTCCCCTATCAACTGAGTACTTCTAGAGGCTTCCAGAAGCTTCCTCTCTCACCACCAAAGAGCCCTGGCATGCACCTCCCACCACACCCTCTGCCCTTGGTAAGGGGGCCCGCGGGGTGGGGGTGTCTCTGCTTCCAGGCTCTGCTCTGCCTGGCTGAGCACCAACCCCCTCCAGAGACACTGGCCTGTGGGGGCTGTGGGAACTGCCCCCTCCACCATCACCCATAGACACCAGCCCCCTGAAACCTCCCTGGCATCTCTCGTGCCCTCTCTCCGCCTGGGCTTGGTCCCAGGTCCTGTCAGGCACTCCTCTCCACGCAGCCCTGCTGGCCGGGCAGGGGGCAGGGTCTCTCCCTGTGCTCTGCGCTGCCCCTCCCAGGCCCGGCTCTGCCCTTCCACAGCCCCAGGGTTGGCAACTGAGGCCTGGGGGCACCTGGATGGGTCAGGGATTCCAGGGCCCTCAGCTGATTTAGGGGGTCAGTCCTGGGAGTGGACGCGGGTGCTCAGGACGGCTCCCACTGAGTCACTAGTGACCCCTGTCCCCCACCAGCCGGTGGCCTGCATATTTGATCTCGAGGATTGCCTTTGTTCTCCGGAATGTTCTTCCTCCCAGAGCCGCACAGGCCTGGCCTGGCCCTTAGATCTCCAAGGCCACTGCCTGCTCTGGAGATGAGTCACAGGCCCCGGCAGCAGTGACCACTTTCAAGTCGCAGGAAGGCGGGAGCAGGAGGCCTGGACCCTTCCCTGGTGTGGTCCAGCCGTGGGCCTGCCCCCTGAGCCACACAGAACTGGGTGCACAGGCGACCCCCCCATATCCGCTCACCACTGCCAGCCCCCCTCCTTCCCAAGGGGCACCGCCCGACCTACGGCCTGCTGCAGCAGGGCTGGTCAACCTAATGCCCAGGAAGGCTTTTTTGACGGAGCCACAGAGCTGGTGCCCCTAAGTCCCAAGCCCCGGACACTGCTGTCCCCTTCCCCCCCAGGCACCCCCAAAGCCCCAACTCTGTGCCCCTCTGGGAGGGGAACCCTAAGAGCTGGGTGGGGACAGGTCGGCTCTGAGACAAGGTCCAGCCTCCAGCCCAGGGGGGCCCACAGGACCTTGCCCACGGTGGGCCACAGGGGAAGCCTGGGTTGCATGCGTCCCTCTGACAGCCTGCCATCCTGCATGTGGGCAGGGGGCTCTCTCCCGGCTGTGCTGGGCCAGCCATACTCACGCCTCTCTTGGCCAGCCCACCCCTGCCCGTGGGGCCCCTGGGCCACAGCTCAGCCTAGAGGGGACTGCAGACTCCTCACAGCCCAGGGTGCCACTGCGGAAGGACATGGGTCAGCTTGGAAGAAGCCCCCCTCCTCCCGCCAGCGCTGACCCCCGGAGCCAGCGGGGAGTCAGCTGGGCCCACCGGCTTGTCACGGACAAGCCAGGCAGGGAGATAGGCAGGCTCTAGAGCCTGGGGAAGAGGCATCCGCAAGGGGCCTGCGGTCAGCATCCCCATACTGGGCGGTGACAGCCAGGTGCTGACACTTCTGAGGGGCGGATGTCTGGGAAGGATGCGTGTGACCCATCCAGGTACGGGCTTGGGGGAGCTGCGCCCTCAGTCCCTGACTGCAGTGTGGAGCCTAGGGGTGGGGCTCCACCCAGGGACTACGGGACCGAGACCATGGACCACGAAACTGAAACCACGGGTCATGGGACTGAGACCACGAACCACGGACTGAGACTATGGACCATAGGACTGAAATCACGGACCACAAGATTGAAACCACGAACCACAGGACTGAGAAAATGGACTGTGGGACTGAGACCACGGACCACGGGACTGAGACCATGGACCACGGGGCATTGACACCACAGGCCACGGACACTGAGACCATGGGCCACGGGGACTAAAACCACAGGCCACGGGGTCTGAGACCACACACACACACCATGGGAAATTGTGACCACGGACCACAGGGGACTGAGGCCACGGGGGACAGGGACCACAGTGGGGGACAGGGACCACAGCCCATGTGGACTATGTCCAGGGCCCTCCTGGTTGGTGTGTCATCTTGATGAGACCCCGGTCACCCCTGCAAGGGTCAGTCCCAGATAAGACTTGTTCTCCTTGGGACGGTACCCTCTGGGATTGCGAGAGCAGGACACAGACAGGGGAGACGCCCGCCCACGCTTGTCACCCCTGCTGCTCCCTGGGCACTGCACCCCCCCACACCAGTCCCGCCCACATTTCCGTCCTAGACCCCAGAGCCACAGGCCAGCTCAGAGGGCGACTCCCTATCCTCTGCCTTGGGACAGACCCAGGTGACTTGAAGGCCTGGGGAGTCTGGGCAAAGCTCCCAGTGCCCCCTGGCTCCCGACCGTCCTGGAGCAGAAGGCAGAGCCCGCGAGCCCCTTTCCAGGCCTTTCCAGGCCAGCTCTTCTGAGGCCGACTCCCGCCTCTAGGCCCCGCGGCCCGCCACTTCCACAGGAAAACAACAGAAGTCAATTCCCCGCCGACACAGGCTTCCGGTCACCCTCCCTCTGTGCTCTCTGCCTGGCACGGGCACCCCCACACCCAGCACCCGGGTTGGTGTTCAAGGGGGAAGACCTGGAGGTGTGTGCGCACACCCTCACCTGTGGGGACCCGCCCAGAACCGCATTCCACCGTGTGGGTCTCCGGGTGCTGCCCCGGGCAGGACTGGCCTGAGCGACCCCCAACAACCGGCGGGTGTGGCCCTGAGCCCACACAAGTGCTGGCAGGGGTCTCCTCGGGCCCAACGCCCAGCCCCATGCACCCATCCCACCTCTCAGGCGAAAGCCCCAAGGAACTGTCCTGGACAGCACCTGGACAGGCACCTGGACCCCTGGCTGCCTTCCGAGGCCACCCGCTGGCAGCTTGGCCGGGCTCCAGCTCAGGAACCCTCGCCTGGAGCAATGTTTGGCATCACAGCTCCCCTGCGCCGGGACAGCGGGCAGGCCGGGCAGCTGAGGGCCATCGGGTGGGGGTGGGGCGGGCAGGTCCCGGGGCCGCCAGCCTTCCCGAAGCAGCTCAGGTGCCCGGCCAGGGCTGCCCGCCGGCGATTCCGCCCCTGCCACCCGCCCCGGGGCCTCTTGGGGACTGGCGAAAGAGCCCGCACGGGCCGGCAAGGGAGGACTCACCGCCAGGACGCTCGGGGCCAGCAGTCCCACGGTCACGGCCAGCAGCAGCCACCTAGACGGGAGAGGGGGGAAGCGCGGGTGAGCGGGACCCGCCGGGCGACCCCCCACCCCAGCTCCCCGGGGTCGCGGGCCGGGGCAGTGCTCACCTCGGCGGGCCCATCCGGGCCGGGGCTCCGCGGCGCATGGTTCCCGGTCCGCGCTCTCCCTGCGGGCCGAGGGACAAAGCGGCTGAGCCCGGCGCGCCCCGCCTGGCCCGGGCGTCCCCCGTGGAGACGCGCCGGGACCGGGGCGCGCCCGAGGACCCGCTCCCGGGCCGCGCCCGCCCGCCCGCGCCCGCGCGGCGCGCCTCGGGGTGCCCTCACCTCCGGGTGGGCAGCGGGGGCGCGTCCTGGGCGCGGGGCGCGGCGCGGAGCCGGGCGGCCACTGTGCGGGCCCGCGCGCTCCCGCCGCTCTTAGCCTGGGCCGGGCCCACCCCCCGGACGCCGCCCGCCCGCCCGCGCGCGCGAGGGGAGGGGGCAGCGCCAACAAATTGGCGAGCTCGGCCCGCCGCGCTCGAGTCGCCGCCGCTCCCCGCCGCGCCCCGGACGGCGCGAGCCCCCGCGCCCGCCGCCGCCCGCCCGCCCGCCCTGCCCAGCCATGGGGCCCCGCGCCGGCGTGTGGCTGCTGCTGCCCGCGCTCCTGCTGGCCCGCGCCGCCGCCAAGGTGAGTCCCGCGCCCTTTGTCCCGCGCCCGGCCAGGTGCGCCCCGGACCCCGCGCGCCGCGCGCCCCGGCCCGGCTCTTTGTTGCGGGCCGGCCGGGGGCGACGGGGCGGGGGGGACCCGGGGGACCCCCGGGGCGGGCGCGCGCGCGCTCGGGGGCCTCTCGGCCGGCTGGTCCGGCGCCTTCACCTGCCCCCCGTGCCCAGCGCGGCCCCCGCCCGCCCCGCGCGTGCGGCCCCGGGCCCCCCGGACCCCGCCTGGGCGCAGCGGCGCCGGGCCCTCCGCCTGGACACCGCCGCGGCGCCGCTTTCCCACGACTGCCCCGGGCCAAACGCTCCAGCGCCCAAGTGGACTCTTTGGAGAGGCGCTTGGAAAAGCGGCCGCCCTCTCGGCGGCGGCCGGTGGGGAACGTCCCTGCCCCGCGCGCAAGTGGAACCACATTTCTGTTCGAGGGCGACCAAAATGAAACCGCGCCGCATTGTTCTGTGGACAAGCTGTTTTCCTAGTTTTCATTTCCCCTGGCCCTGCGCCTCCGGAAAGAGGATGGAGCTGGGACGCCGGGACAGCGCCCGGCCGCGGCTGACCTGGTCCAGCTCCGCGCCCCCTTGCTCCGGGCGGGCAGCCCCGCGCAGAGCTCAGTCAAGCTGGTCGTGGGTCGGGGCCCGCGCCAGACCCGGGGCGCCCCCGCGTCCCCACCCTCGGTGCCCACCACCCCTCTGTCCAGAGTGATTCTGCCTCCTGCCCTTCCCCACCTACCGCCCCCCCCTCCCCGGGGGCCTCGTTACTTCTCCCCAGGGAGAATGCACCCCTTCCACTTCGCGGGGGCATAAATGATTAACTCTTGCCGGCCAGAATAAACTGGCCATCCGCACACATGTCTGTTGGAGCAGCCGACTTGGCCCCTGCCTGCTCCCACGACTAATGATTACACTGGCCACTAAGTTCAGACGCTCTCCCCCGTCTCGCCAAGCACCTCGGCTATTTAAACACTCGTCCGCGGCGAGGACAAAATACTTTCAAGGGGACACTTCAGAACTCTTTATTTAGGGCCGAGATGTTAACCAAAATATTTAACGCTTCCAAGGAGGCATTGCCAAGGCCCTGGGCGGACACGGAACGTTGTGTGGGCCCTGGAACCTCTCTGAACTCGGTTTTCCCAGTGATGCTCTTAGCAGCAGAGTGGAGAGTGCCCCGAGAGTGGTTTTTCCCAAGCCAGGACCTCCCGGCCTAGCCGGCGCTCCTGTTCCTGCCTGGGGCCAGGTAGTGCTGCCCAGTGGGTCTGAGTCTCCCTCCCACCCTTGCCCCCAAAGCCCAAGTGCTTCCCGGGGTCCCTTGGCTCAGCCCTGTGCTGGGGCGGGGTGGGGGATTGGTTCAGCAGAGCCCGAGCGGGCATCTGGCACCGCTGGCCGACACTGTTTTTCCAGGGCATCTGTGACTTATGGTGTCCAGGGAAATCCATGGCAAGAATAACTGGCTAATTGTCCACGTTTATCTCCCCTCCATTCCCTCCGCAACATTTTTGCCTCCCTCCCCCCTCATTGGGCTGTGAGGTATGTGGGGAAGCTGGAGTCGCCTCGGTACTGATCCAAGTGAAGGACGGTCCCGTCTCTCATCCAGCCTGGCCCTGGCCTCCCTGGAATTCGGGGGTCGGTCCCCCTAGCCCTCCTGCTGGGAATCGTGGGAACACATTTCTGGGTGGTTTCGCAGCCGCTGGGCAGGGGGGGCGGTGGGGGGCGGTTTGGGCGTGGCCGCGGCTGGAGGGGTCCTGCTCACCGTCAGGGCCTCAAGGCTGTGGATTCTCCTGGGTCTCAGAGCGGCCTGTCCCTAGTCAGCCACCCCCCCCCCCCCCCACCGTGGCTGCCGCCACCCAGGGCTGAATGAATGAATGGATGGGTGGACGGGTGGACGGGTGGACGGCTTCCTCCTGCCCTCTTGCTGGTCTCTGGGCCTCCCTCTGCTGTCCCCGGGACCCTGAGTGCCCGCTCTCCCTGGGTGGGGCAGCGGGTGTGCCGTGGGTCTCCCCGCACTGCGGGCGTGGCCTCGGCACTGAGGCCCCTCTCCGGCTTCCCCTGCCCTCCGCGTGACTACAGAGCTGGCCAGACCAGATGGGGGCCTCCTCCTGGGACTCTCCTCTCGATGGCCACAGTGAGCAGCATGTTCTGGGAACGGTTGCCAGGGCCCCCCAGTGTCCTCCGACCCATCTTTCTGTCCTGCACCCTGAGCAGTGTCTTGTCTGTGTCCTGTGTCAGGTGCCCGTCACGTCACGTCATGTCAGAGCTGCTGTCCTGTGAGGGGCTCAGTCTGGGTTGGGGGGGGAGCGGGAAGGGAAGGGGAGGCGGCCAGGCGGGCAAATGTCCTGCCGTCTTGGAACCCAAGAGGGCTGTTTGCGGAGCAAGCTAAATTCCCATGTGCTCTTTCAGGACCCCTGGCACCCAAGGTCACTCAAGGACCTTGCAGAAATCCAGGGGCCCTTGCATTTAAGGCGGATCCCGATCCCCCCACCCCGGGACCTGGGTGCCTCTGCCTTGGTGGCTGCCCTTCTCTCTGGGAGCAGGGGGAAACCGAGGCGCAGGCCAGGAGACATGCCCAGCTCGGTGGCGCCCCCTGGCAGCGGTGCTCGGGGCCCCCCTCCCCGGGGGCTGGCCCCAGGAATGCGAGAGCCAGTTAGGCATTAACGGGACCGTCTGCTCATTTCTTGGAATTGCCAGGGATGATCAGCAGAGCACCTCGGTTCTGAGCTGACGAGTCAGGGCTGGGGCGACCCCCCCCCTCAGCGGGTGGCCGCCTGCCCCCACCCCGCCTCTGTTGGTGGCTCAGGGTTTCACAAGGGGTAGGGGAGCCAGGAAATGACTTGGCTGGGCCTGGGGGGCTCCGGGGAGTCTCCGGGGCCGGGGCCGACAGACACAGAAGGGATTAAGCTCATTAGAACGTCTCCCCGCAGGTTGGGTATTCTGGGTTCCTGGGGGGGCGGGGTAGAATCTAGCAACAATGGAAACCCTAAAATAATTCCGTCGGAGCATTGTTCTTCCTGCCATTATTCAGCGGCCACCGAGAAATGTCCACGGGGAACAATGCAGAGGACATATTCCTGCCATTCTCAGGCACGCCGTGGGGGCAGGGCTGGCCCCTTCACTTGGCCGTGCCGGCCAGTTGTGAGCGCCCGGCCCGCTCCGCGTGGCTCCCGGCCTGCAGCCTTCTGTCGGACCTGGGAGATGGGTCCCCGGGAGCCGGGCGCCCTCCAGACCAGGCCTGGTGCTCCCGCGCTGTGCTCAGCCTGTCCCTCCCACCTCCACGTCCACGCTCCCTCCTGGCCTGGGGCTGTGCCCTGCTCCTGTCCTGTCCCCCTGCATCCCGGGGCGCCCCGCAGCCCCAGCGCCCGCGTGCCCAGTGTCCTTGGCAGCGTGGATCCAGCCCGTGGAGGAGTTTTGCGGGCAGGCCCCTCACTCGTGGGCAGCCCCTCGTTGCCATACCCCAGCCCCCCCCCCAAGTGTTATGTGTGGGTGGTTTTTTTTTTCTTTTTGGGTCACACCCGGCGATGCACAGGGGTTACTCCTGGCTTTGCACTCAGGAATGACTCCTGGCGGTGCTCGGGGGACCATATGGGATGCTGGGAATTGAACCCGGGTCAGCCGCGTGCAAGGCAAACGCCCTACCCACTGTGCTATTGCTCCAGCCCCGTGTGTGGGTGGTTTTAGGTGAAGGGACATCGGTCTGACTTCTGGGGTCAGGGCAGACCCCTCCTCCCTCCTCCTTGGTGTCCTCCGCCAGGCAGGGGCCATCTTTTTATTTATTTATTTATTTATTTATTTATTATCTATTGCTTTTGGGGCTGCACCCAGCAGTGCTCAGGGCAGACTCTCGACTCTGCGCTCAGGAATCGCTCCTGGCTGTGCTGGGGGGGAACCCTCTGGCATCCCCTGCCAGGCGGATACCCTCCCGCTGTCCTGTGGCTCTGGGTGTGGCCCTGGGTTCTGTGCCCAGGTGTGGCTGTGTGCATGGAGCCTGGTGAAATGGGCCCCTCCCCACGGGCTGCTGTCCTGTCCCCTGCCTCAGTGCCTCAGAGGGACCGGGGTGCTGTCACCCAGCCCGGAGTGTGTCTGCGTCCAGGCACGGCCGGCCGGGTGCAGGGGCGCTTTGGTTCTCTTGGTCCACGCCAAGACATAGCTGTTGGGTCTGGAGGGATGAGTTTCCTTTCGCAGGAGCTGACTGGCATGTACCCGCGCCCTGCCTTGCTGCCTCCCGTGTCGGGCGGTGAGGAGTGACCTGGGCCTGCAGCGTCCCCTGCAGCACTTTGGGGTGCCCCAGCGCCCCCCGTCCCTGCCCTGCTGGTCTCATGCTCATTAGTCTCAGGTTGCAACGCTGCGCCGCCCAGAGCTCATCCTTCCCGCCCTTCCTGCCGCCGGGGCAATGTCCAGGGGGCTCCATTGTCCCTCAGAGCCCCACACCCCAGCCCCTTGACAGAGATAATCGCGATGCTGCGGCTCAGAGAGGACTCAAGGAGGAATGGTGTGTCCACCCCAGCCACCGCCAGCCACTGTCCAGGTGATTCCACAAGGCCCATTCCATTGTTCAGGTGATTCCATAGGGCCCGTGTCTATTGTCCTGGTGGTTCTACAAGGCCGGGCCATTATCTAGGTGATTCATTCCATAAGGCCCGTGTCCACTGTCCTCATGATTCC